TCTCCATGATACTGTAATGGTGGACATGTGACATTATATATTTGTCAAAACCCACAGAACTGTAAAACACAAAGAGCAAACTCTAATATAAACTATGAACTTGAGTTAATTATAATGTATCAGTATTGCTTTAATTATAATGTATCAGTATTGCTTCATTCAGTCCGGGTGGCGCAGTGGTTAAGAGCTATCTATGGCTGCTGAGCAAAAGGTCGGGAGTTCAAATTCACCAGCTGCTCCTTGGAGACCCTAGGAGGCAGTTTTGCTCTGTTCTACAGGGTTGCTGCTAGTCAGAATCGACTTGACAGCAACGTTTTTTTTTCTTTTTTTATTGATTCATCAATTGTAACAAACATGTGTGCAGGAGGGAGAGGGGATATATGTGAACTCTGTACTTTCTATGCAGTTTTTCTGCAGATCTAGAACTGCTCTAAAAAGTAAAATACATTGGGGGGAAAATAAAGCTAGCAGTTGAATAGGAAAGGAAAGACACCCAAAGTATTTTAAGTGGAGGTCCCAAGATTTTGCAGAAAGACTCACATAGGCTTACAAATGAATTTGAGTTTCACCACTTACGGGCTGTGTGACCTTGGGTTAGTTCTACAACCTCTCTGAGACTCAGCTCCCTCAGCTGAAAAATGGGAATAGGAACACCTATGTCACTGTGCTGTTGGGAATATCAAATGGAGCAATGCATGCACAATGCCCAGTACTGTAGGCATGCGATCATGTGTGTTCCCTCCCCTGTGACTGGGAGATGTCTGGTCTGCGTTCTTCTTCTTCATTGTCTGGCACAGACAAAGAGGCCTTCAGTAACGTGAAATATTAGAAACACCCGGCACTTATTTAATCAGATAAAATTATACCATTCACCTCGGTTTTTCTATTTTGAAAAACACAACGGAAAGATTCAGACAGATGCCCCACTCACACAAAGGCTGAACCACAGAGGCAGAAAAAAACGTCTCCGGGAAAGCTGTTGGCAACAGTCTTTGTTAAGCTCGTCTGACCAAGTTGGTTTCTTGTTTATTTTTTAAATATTTCAAACATGTTCTGCTACCCAAGGCCAAGTAAATTAGGCCATTCATAAAAGGTTTGGATTTAAAAGGTAACGCTTCTGCGTTTTTATCCTCAGCGCTGCTTTTATCCCCGTTTCTAGCAGCCAGGACGCCTGACCCCTGGGGCCTTGCAGCAGGGGCTGGGCTCTGCCTGTGCCCCTCCAGGTGGGCCGCACACTGTGCCGAGGGGTCGGGCTTGGAGAAGCAAGCTGCTGAGACTTCCTCGTGAAGCCTTTGTCTGTTCTCCTCTTGGAATCCAGTGTCTTTCCTCAGCACGTCCTTGACCACGTTTTTGTTTCAATTTTCACACTAATAACAGGCCCACAGGTCTCTGGATGGTGGGCTGGACTAGAGACCTAAAGGTTGGCAGTTCGAACCCACCCTGTGGCACCGAAGAAGAAAGGCCTGGCAATCTGCTTCTGTAAAGATTACCCAAAACCAAAAACCAAACCCATTGCCACTCAGTCGATTCCAGAAACTCCTATGAAGCTATGAAGCAGTTCTACTCTGTAACACATGACGTCGCAATGAATCAGAATCGACTCCACAACAATGGGTTACATTTTTGGGTTTGGTTTATCAGGCCCACGTTGCAGTTGTTTCTATGTATGCAGATTTACCACACTGCAACCTAAGCCTATTCCTCTTTTTATTCCCCAGGGCCTTGCGCAGGGCCTTATATAGAGTCTAAGTGTGCAATACAAGTGCGCTGTTGAATCGATTACAGCCAACCTTAATTTGTGATTGATAATAGTTAAAGCCTTAATGAGCAAGTTACGAGGCCAACCCTGAACGTTTATTTCTATAAATTTTGAATAAACCAAAAATCAAACCCACTGCTGTTGAGTTGATTCCAACTCATAGCCCCACAGGGTTTCCATGGAGCGCCTGGTAGATTCGAACTGCTGCCCTTTTGGTTAGCAGCTGTAGCTCTTAACCACTATGGCATCAGGTTTACTTTGAATAAACTCAAGGTAGAAAAGGAATGTCATCATCCACTTCCATATGTCCACTGGGGTTTTGGATTTCCTCCACGTGATGTTGTTAGCTGCCAACAAGTTGGCCCCTGACTCATGGTGACCCCGTGCACCATGGAATGAAATGCTGCCTGGTCCTGCACCATCTCCTTGATTGGTTGCAGATTGGACCGTTGTGATCCACAGGGTTTTCACTGGCTGATTTTCAGAAGTAGAAAGCCAGGCCTTTCTTCCTAGTCCATCTTAGTCTGGAAGCACCACTGAAACCTGTTCAACATCACAGCAACATACAAGCCTCCACTGACAGATGGGTAGTAGCTTCACATAAGGTACGTTGGCGGGAATCGAACCGAGGTCTCCCATATGGAAGGCAAGAATTCTATCACTGAACCACCAGTGCCCCCTCTCCTGTTTAGGCCCATCCTTTTTATAGGCAGCTCTTCGGGTTAGGAAATTCTTCATTACTGCGGCTGAAATCTGTTTACCTGCAATTTCTGTCCACCATTCCCAGCCTGATCTCTCTTGCAACTAGACAGCTCTTCACAGATTTGAGCATCTAAGCTACCAAACCCATTGCCATCGAGTAGATAGCGACCCTACTGGATAGAATAGAACCAGCCCATGGGTTTTCAAGGCTGTAAACTTTATGGAAGCAGGCTGCCATGTCTTTCTTCCATGGAGCGGCTGGTGGTTTCAAACCGCCGATCTTTCAGTTAGCAGCTCTGCACTTTAACCACTGCACCTCCAGGGATATTTTGCCTATGCTTGTAATATGTTCATATTCCAGATAAAATGAAAAAACAGTCGGAATGTGGACTGTTCTGTTGCTTTATTCGGAGGTAGGCTAAAGTATGGCAGTTAAGACGGTGGGTTCTGGACTCAGATGGCAAAGGTTCAGATGACTTGGGGCAACTGGCTTAATGTCTCTGAGCTTCAGCTTCTTCAACCATAAAATGGGGGTGGTGATGGTATTTGGAGTCTCTGGGTGGTGCAAATGGTTAAACCCTTGTTACTAACCAAAAGATTGACAGTTTGAATCCACCCAGAGGCATCTGGGAAGAAAGGCCTCGTGACCTAATTCCAAAAAATCACAGCGATTGAAAACCCGATGGAGAATTAAGTGCCCATCAACAGATGAATGGATAAACAAATTGCGGTGCATACCTGCAATGGAATATTACACAACAATAAAGAATAATGAGGAGTCCTCAAAACACAACATGGAAGAATCTGGAGAACATTATGCTGAGTGAAATAAGTCAATCACAAAAGGACAAATATTGTATGGTCTTTATTTTATAATAAGTCAAGAACAGGTTTATACACAGAAAGCAATGTTCTTTGATGGTTATCAGGGATGGGAGGGGGAGGGAGTGGGAGGGAGTGGGAATCACTTTCTACATAGTAGACACTTATTTTTGGTGAAGGAAAGGCAATACCCAATATGGGTGAAATCTGCACAACTTGTCCAAGGTAAATGAAGACACTAAGAAGTATGCAAGAATAAGGAACAATTTTGGTCACATACAATTTTGCAACAACAACAACCAAAAAAAATACATGTCTGGTTACATAGGCAGATATGTATGCATTTATGTGTATAGGAAGGCACGTGTGAATGTATGGTTGTGCATGTATAGGTATATATGTAGGCATGTGTATATATATGCTTCTGTGTGCTGCATACGTATTCATATATATAAAAAACCACCTAGAGGGCACAGTTACGGATATGTCCTAGACATAATCAAACACCTTGTGGAATTGGTTTACTGGGTTTGAAGGCTTGGGACCATAGTATCAAGGGCCAACTCGGTCAATTGGCATAACACAGTTCATACAGATAATGTTCTACCTCCTAGTTTGGTAAGTAGTGTCTAGGATCTTAAAAGCTTAAGAGTGGCCATCTAAGATACAACTACTGGTCTTGTCTGGAACAAAAGAAAATGAAGGAATCAAGGAGTCAAAGAAACAAGTCCACAGGCCTAATAACCCACCTGAACCATGGCCTCAACTAGCCTGAGAAGAGAAGAACTAGATGGTGCCCCACTACCACTACCCACCATTCTGACCTGGGACACAACAGAAGGGGCTGGATAGAAAGGGAGAAAAATATAGAACAAATCTCAAATTCCTCAAAAAGGCCAGAATTACTGGGCCAGTAGAGACTAGAAGATTCCCTGAGACTATGCCCTAAGATACCTTTGAACTAGGAACTGAAGCCACTCCCGGTGATCACCTTTTGTTCAAATAATAGATTGGCTTATAACATAAACAATATCACCTGTGAATACTGTTCTCCCTTAAATAATCAAATATATGAGACCAAACAGTCAACATTTACCCTAAAACAAAGATGAGAAGTTAAGGAGGGACAGGGAAGCTAGATTAATGGAAACAGAACACACAGAATGAAAATAATGCGAATGTTGATAGTGTAAAAAATGTAACCAATGTCACGGAACAATGTGTATAAAAATTGTTAAATGGCAACCTAATTTGCTATATGAAGTTTCACCTAAAGCACAATAAAATATTGAAACTACAACAACCCTACGGAGCCCAGTTCTACTCTGACACACGTGGGGTCGCCATTAGTCGGAGTTGACTTGACAGCAGCTGGTTTGGTTTTTGACAGTATTTACCTCACAGTGCAACGATGGGGGTTAGGCAAGATGATACTTGTCAGGTGCCTAGAACAGCACCTCACTCTCAAAGGCCCTTGGTAAGGATGAACTGTTACGATTAGCCTGGATCTAAGAGGGGTGGCTTGCCCTACACAGTTAGAGAAATGTCACAGACCACAAGGCACATGCAGAGACCCAGAGGTCTGCAAATAGGGACAGGACAACAGAGACAAGGGCACCCCGAAGCCACACGGCACCCAGTTTGGGGACCGGATGAGCCCTTCCAGGTGTCTTTGCCCCACGCACCAAGCATGACAGTGGGCCTGGGCCCTGCCTACCTTGGTACTGGGCGCTGAAGCCGCGCTGCCGGTGGTTGCCATCTGATGTGAAGTGTAGCCGCAGCCAGTTCTTGCTGCTGATGACAGGGGCTGGGAGGCTGGCTCCGGTGAACCTGCGGGGACAGGAAGCAGGACCAAGTCAGGGCCATAGCCAGGCCAGACAGGAGCCCGGGCATCTGGGAGTCTCCCCACTTCCCATGCCTGCTGGGTCCTCAGCCCAGCCCTGCAAGTGGCAAGGGGAGGGCTGGTTGCCTCAGCAGTCCCCAGTAGCCTGGGGCCTGAGCAGCTTGAGGGGGGCTTGGTGCACCCCCAGGGACTCATCCTACCCTTAGGTTTCCCTGAGATGCTGAGAGGAGGGTGTGGATCCTTCAAGCCTAGCATAGAGTTCCAGTCCCTCAAAAGAGGTCCAGGCCCTACTCTTTCAGCAGAAGTCCAGCCCCAACAGAGGTCCAGTCCCCCAAGCAGAGGTCCACCTCTATACCCCGCCAACAGAGGTTCAAGAACCCACCCTTTTTGCAGAGGTTCAGACCTCCCAGTAGAGATACATCCCCCACCCCTACCCCCAGCAGAGACCCTGCTATCCCTAGCAAGCCCATCAGATCCCCAGGAAGTCAGGAGGAAGGACCTGGGGCAACCATAGCAGGCATGTGACCCTTCACAGGTGTAGAAGTTCCTTCTTGGGTCACTCACCAGGCCCTGATCTCCTCTGGCTCCTCCCCCTGCCTCTGCAGCACCCACAACCATTTTTCTTTCCCCAGTCCTCGCAGGAGTACCTCCTCCTCTCCTGTTGGGCCTGTCCCTTCTCCCTTAGATTAGCCTCCTCTAGTCTGGGTTCCAACCTGTCCAGCCCTCCCCATGACCCTACTACTAAACTCAGTGGGTGGGCAGCCCTGGCAGTCTTGGACCACTGCTACTCCATCTCTTTGACCACTGTCCCCATTCTCTTGCTCCCTCTTCAAGCTGGCTGCTCTTCCTGCCCTGGCATGGGTACTGGGACCTCTCCCACCATCATAGCACCACCCCAGCCTCTTTATTGACTGCCATTCTGAGCCAACTTTCAGGTCAATTAGGTCTTTTCTCCCAGGGTTACTCAGGGTACCAGAACCTCCAGTGGCTCCTCAGTGGGTACAGAGACTGGACTTCCAAACTTTCCAACCTGGCCCTGCTTGGAAGGCCCTCCGCTCAGGCCTAGCCCTCACCATGTCACTCAGGCTAAGCCCTCAGTGTTCCATCCCAGGTTCTGCTCATTCCTCTGCCCCCAGGAATCTCCCCGCATCTACTCTTCTCTGGACCACCCCACAGCCTCCTAGCTGGAAGATGCCCAGTGTCTTCCCTCTCTTCCTCCTTTCGTACAAATCAGCTACAAAATCCTCTCATGACTTCCTCTTAGCAATAGGATAAAGCTCAAATTCAAGGCTGTTTCTAATTTGGCCAATTCACTCCTCATTCGTTTCTGTCTGCTCCCATTCCCACACGTACACCCTACCTACATCTCCTACACATTCCATGTTTTTCCTTTTTCTAAGTCTTCGTTCTTTCTGCCTGGACTATTACCTACTTGTACCCCTCTCACCTGCATCACCCGTGTCTACCTGGAGACAATGTGGGGAAGCCCCTCAAATGTTACATCCCCAAGAAAGCCTTTCCTTTCCTCTTTGGCTTTGAAGCCACCAGATTTGGGTTCAGATCCAGGCTTTACCACTTACTACATTGTGACCTTGGACCAGTTACTTAAAACTTTCTGGAATGAGAATAAACACCAGACTGAAGAATTCATAGGAAAATATGAAAGACCTTATGGGCAAAGAATCTAGCCCAGTATTTGACACCTATTCGTTCAACAAATATAATTTTCCTATCCCCGCCTCTGAGATGCCACTGATTTTATGCAAAGTGTAATTCCATCAACTAGGTGTGTGTCTCCCTAAGATAACCCTCAAAGGGGCAGCGTAGTTTAGTGGCAAAGAAGCTCAGGCTCTGGAGTGATCTTAGGAAAATCACTTAAGCTCTCAGTGACTCAGTGACCTCACCTATAAAAGGGGGACAATAATAACCCCTCCCTCAAAGGGTGCAAGAATAATGGGCAGAAAGACCTCAGCATACTAATGTTCACTGCAGCACTATTCACAATTGCCAAAAAGTGGAAACAACCTAAATGTCCGTCAACAGATGAACCGATAGACAAAACGTGGTACATATGCACAATGGAACATCACTCAGCCATAAAGAGAAATGAAGTCCTGATGCGTGCCACCACATGGCTAAACCTGGAAAACATCGTGCTGAGTGAAATAAGTCAGTCGCAACAGGACAAATACTGTATGATCGCACTTACACGAAATAAGCAAATATACAGAAACCAAAGCTTAACAGTGGTTACCAGGGATGGGAAGGAGGGGGAAAGGGGAGTTACTGCATAGAGGGCACTGAGGTTCTGTTCATGGCGGCAAACTAATTTGGAAAAGGATAGTGATAATGGTTGCATAACATGAGGAATGTAATCAATGCCACTGAACAACTGTTGAACTGGCAATCGTTTTGTTATGTATATTTTTACCACACACACACACACACACACACACACACACACACACACACACACACACAAACACACACAAGAGCTTACCACAGTCTCTGGCAAATAGTGAGCTCTCAGTAAAAGGCAGGTGCTATTTTTTCCCTCATTCCAGGATCTAACGTAACACTTGGTACCACACAGGTGTGCCGGAGTCCCATCAGAAACCACAGGCGGCATGCGCACATGAGGATAATTCAAGGAGTTTAATAAATGGACTCTACAAAGGTGAGGGCAGGCTGTAGGGAAAGCATAGGGACACTGTAGTACCCTGGGGCTGGTAACAGGGGGCTCATTACCATTCCCAGGCCTGGAGGGGAGAAGAGACAAGAATGGTTATCCCCAAACGAGAGAGGGTACAGCCAGTTTGTGAAAATCCCTCCAGGAGGCAGCAAAGAATGAAAACTCTGAACTTACTCTACTCCTTCCCCTCCTCCAATCTTTTGCTGCTGCTCCTGTTGATCTAACCCAACTGGAAGCTAGAGGGTAAGGGAGTACACTGACACAGCCCGACAGGTTAAGTCTCTCCAGGCACAGAGTCAGGTGGAGAAAGGTAGGGGGAAGATCTGGAGGGGCACATCGAACAGATCCAACACAGCAGGTCTTCATAAATATATATTAAACGAAAGAACGAACCAAGGAGCGTCACACCCTATGAAACTGAGTTCTTCCTATCACGAAAATGCTGACACACACCAAACTCCTGGAATATAACCCATATTGCTATGGTAAGAGCTATTATAGAAACCAATTGTTGTATTTCACCAGATCTCATTTAAAATAGTTTATTACTGGCTGAGTTATTTAAGTTTTCTAAGGAGCCACAAACAGTATTGTGGTTTTCTTTTTCCTCTTCAGGACAAATTCAATTCTACCTCAATGACAAAGCTTAGAGGCTATTTACATAAGGAAGTAGAAATAGAGAGAATTTACCTGAATAATTCATAACCAAAGGCTCTTACTGCAAAATGGAATGAAGGGAGGGTGCCGGGGTCCCCAGAGCAGGATATTAATGATCTCCATTGTCAACACACCAGAATTATAGTGTAACGGGAAGTCATTGAGGCCTCCCCAGCACGTTGGGTCTGAGCAGGATTGATTGCTCTAACTCCCAGTTGTATAGCTTGGGAAGCTCTAAGGACTCCTCCCTACTTTGTCTCTCCTACACCCTTACCCACTCCCACCAATGCCATTCATTTTTAATTCCCAAGGCTTAAAACTCTCACGACTGGTCCTGTCTGTGCATCTTTCTTTTTTTAAATTGTGGTTAAAAACGAATATATATATATATATATATACACACACCCCCCACATGTCTGTCAGTTTGTCGTGCTGTGGTGGCTTGAGTGTTGCTGTGATTCTGGAAGCACACCAGCAGGGTCACCCATGGTAGACAGGTTTCAGCTGACCTTCGAGGCTAAGACAGACTAGGAAGAAGGACCTGGCGGCCTACTTCTGAAAAAATTAGCCAGGGAAAATCTATACATATATTTGCAGCCCTGGTGGCATAGTGGTTAAGAGCTTGGCTGCTAACCAAAAGGTCAGCAGTTCGAATCCACCAGCTGCTCCTTGGAAACCCTATGGGGCAGTTCTGCTCGGTCCTATAGGGTCACTATGAGTTGGAATTGACTTGACGGCAAGTTTAGCTTTTATATATATATATAATTTCGACTTTTTTTTCATTCAAGATGAAATGGTGTCATGAGATGGTGTCATGTCTCTGCTCAAAACCCTCCAGTAAAAAGGAATAAACTATTTTGATATAGGCAACAACGTGGATGACTCTCAAAAGCATTATGCTGAGCAATAAAAGAGTATATATTGTATGATTCCATTTATACGACACTACAGTAAGACTAAGGAACCCTGGTGGCTCAATGGTTAAGTGCTCAGCTGCTAACTGAAAAGTCGGTGGTCTAAACCTACCCATTGGTCCACAGAAGGAAGGCCTGGTGATCTGCCTCTGTAAAGATTACAGCCAAGAAAATCCTATGGGGCGGTTCTACTCTGACACACGTTGAGTTGAAAATCGACTCTACAGCACCGAACAAACAGCAACATAGAAGGACTAATGTACAGTGAGAGAAAGCAGGTTGGTGATTGCAGGGCCTGAGGGTGAGTGGGAGGGTTGGGAACTGCCTAGAAAGGGATACAAATGAATCTTTTGGGGTGATGGAAATTTCTATATCTTGAATAAGATAATAGTTATATGGGGTATACACATTTATCAAAACTCCAAAGAACTATGCATTGAAAATATGTATATTTTATTCAATTATACTTTAATAAACCCAAATCAGTTATCCTTCAGTTGACTCCAACTCATGGTGACCCCATGTGTGTCAGAGTAGAACTGTGCTCCATAGGGTTTTCAATGGCCACTTTTTTGGAAGTAGATCACCAGGTCTTTCTTCTGAAGCACTTCTGGGTGGACTTGAACCACCAATCTTTTGGTTAGAAGCCAAGGACATTAACTATTTGCACCACCCATGGACTCCTAGAGCTTAATTTCCAGTTACTGTCAAGTTGATTGACTCA